TTCTAAACCTCTAACACAACTATGTAGACTACAAGTCTTGGTATCCTTTCCCCACGCATTCTAAACCTCTAACACAATTATGTAGACTACAAGTCTTGTCTCCTTTCCCCACGCATTCTAAACCTCTAACACAACAATGTAGACTACAAGTCTTGTCTCCTTTCCTCATGCATTCTAAACCTCTAATACAACTATGTAGACTACAAGTCTTGTCTCCTTTCCCCACGCATTCTAAACCTCTAACGTATTTGCACTGGAGGAAATGATTATACAGAGAGGCAACAGTGTAATGTATGATTTTTTTAAAACATGAACTTCTTTTTTCCCTTAAAGCCCCTTGAAAGAGGAAGATACTTTCACAAGAAATAATGGTTATCAGAAGTTTCATCGAAGCTGTTCTTTTTCCAGATTGTTAATTTAATAAAGGATAACTTTCATATATTTCAGAATTTCCATTATTTGAGAATTGTATTAGAAAACATCGGTTTCTACATGTGGACCTTTCTTCTTTAGGGTTAAAGGTAAATTACACACTCTATTTCACCATTCTGAATTCGAAGCGGTAGGGTTTTATCGGTTTCTTTTTTAATGTAATATACCAAACATTTTAAATCTTATTCGTTTTTTTTACTATCGTGATTATACATACATTAATAACTTGTTGGGACAAAGCGATATAAATCGCGTCAGAACGGAAAAGCTTAAGTTGCGTCACCTGAAGTATATCAATACACATGCTGTTTAATGGAACCTATTTTATAATGGAACAGTTCACAAGTGTGTCTGACACATGGTATGCTATTCATTGGTAAAATTAGCTGCCCATCGTTTTTCATCTAATTTAAGAAGAAATAAAAACACTATATCAGGATAAACCATATTTTTTGTTTATATGAAAATTGTAGACATAAGATGGAATGTGACTGAATAAAACAAGAATGACGATGTCTGATTTACGTATCTTGAGACCTTTTTCAATTTAGCGGAGTAAGGAAACAAACAAAAGAAAACCTCAAATATCTATCGTGTTTCATGAGTGACATTAAATATTGATTTACCGATCTGATACCTCGTATTCGTAGACACAATTTTAAGGTTGCATGCATGTATGTATTTTGTGCAATATGTGTATTTTCGCCTCTTTTATTTTTTATCCTGAAATAATTTTCAAGAATTTTAGTAAATATATGCTTTATTTTCTAATGTATTATTTCATTTGGTGTCTGTTTCTTACAAATGGGTATTGCAAATAGAAAATATATATAATTATTTTTATTACGCATGCGCCTAAAATAATGTACAGTTTGTATACATTTACTTAATACTCACATAAAAACTTTTAAAACTGTTCCTTCATTTTTAATTTTATGGTAAACGCTATTAAGAATGTCTTTACTACTTCTTTCTTTTATTGTTACGTTTAACAATTTACGGTCTCTTGTCTCCACCACACATCTATTCCGCACAATATATTTGTAACCTTGGGCTAATTAAAGGTTTTTATTTTGTCATTTCCGGCATTTTCTTTTTTCACTTTTCATGTTGATAATCCATAAAACATTTCTCTTATGCGCGCACATGTTCTTGGCAGCATTTGTAAGACAAAGATTCATGAATTTACATTGTTATCATTAGATGGGTTTCATAAAATACTACGAGTAATTGGTTTAAAAAACGTTGTTGATTAAGTTTTGCTAGTTTTAAAATCAACGAAAAGTTGCTCAACTTTGAACTACAACGATTCACCAGTCGTTAAAAAGTAAATGCGATGAAGCCTAGACTTTTTTATTGAAAGTTGACACTACTGATTAAGACTTAACATAAAACTAATCACCAGTGCTCCAAATTTCACAAAGAAAAGGGTGAACGTACCGAAATTTATATTTTAAAAAAACACGACATATTCGTTCCTTCTAAGATTATTAGAATTTAAGGTCTAAATCGACATGTATAAACAACTTTAATAACAATATATTGTGCCATATTTCCCTTACCTGAGGAAGGTTTGTACTCCAGCAAATAACGATTGATTGGGTTGTTGCCGTCAAATGGAGGCGCCCATGTTAAGGTAACAGAACGACTGCGTGTGTCTTTTTCTTGCAACTTACTAGGTGAATCAGGTCGTTCTGTTCCACAATAAAAGAGAGAAAACCACATATAAAACCTCGATTTTGACTTAACTAGAAGAGGAACTGAAATTTGTAAGTTTCTATATAATTAATTTGATAATGACACTAATAATTTGGTGAGCGTAAGCTATTTTACACCACACTACTTATGTATCGTTCGTACCTAATCTACAGGTGTTTAATTCTTAAAAACAAAGACGCCGTAGCAAATGTTCGATAACAATAAAACTATCATGAAGGATTAACTTTTTTTGTTAAAGACAAGCTAAGACGCTTAACCTCAAATTGTTTTATTTTATTTGCAAGTTGTCATTTTCACAAAAAATGTATTGGTAGCTAATATGCTGGTGCTCCATGTTTCTACATTTTAACATAGAAATAAATAACTGTTGTTAGCATTACAATTTTCACTATAATTGTAGCTCTCAGTTAAATACTAAGGTTAGTATTGCAGTAACTACCAGAAGATCAAATGCATTCTGTAATTCGTGATGATAACTATAAAGTGATAAAACTGTCAAGTTGTGTAATGGATGATCGAAACTTTATATATTAATTATGTATTGTTATTTCTTACTTAGCTTGTGGTGGATGCTCGAAACTTATTAACTATGTATTGTTATTTCTTACTAAGCTTGTGGTAGATGATCGAAGCTTATTAACTATGTATTGTTATTTCTTACTAAGCTTGTGGTAGATGATCGAAGATCGTCCACCACAAGCTTAGTAAGAAATAACAATACATAGTTAATAAGTTTCGATGATCTACCACAAGCTTAGTAAGAAATAACAATACATAGTTAATAAGTATTAGTAAGAAATAACAATACATAGTTAACAAAGTTTCACCACAAGCTTAGTAAGAAATAACAATACATAGTTAACAAAGTTTCGGTCGTCCACCACAAGTACGCTCGAAACTTATTAACTATGTATTGTTTTTTCTTACTAAGCTTGTGGTGGACGATCGAAACTTATTAACTATGTATTGTTATTTCTTACTAAGCTTGTGGTGGATGCTCGAAACTTATTAACTATGTATTGTTATTTCTTACTAAGCTTTTGTTCACCTTGCACAACAAGTTGAAATTTGGTTTCGTCACTTCCATAAGAATTTGTCACCAAACAGCTGAACAAGCCAGCGTCTCCCCTGTCTGCTGAAGTAATCTTAAGATCAGAAGAGAAAACTCCAGACATGGACGTTTCTTCTATAGTATATCTGCAAATTAAACCTCATTAAAACCACTACTTGGAACCACATATTTTTAAAAATAATTTGTAAATTAAACAAATACACTTTTTGAAAAAATCTGCAGAGAACTGGAGATGTTGTAAAATATTTTACCATCACTGAAGGTAAGTTTATTATAATCTGATTGACTTTAGATGTTGGAACATAAGTAGATATTTGTAATAATCAAAATGATAAATAGAATTGTTTATTTCATTTGTAGATTTATAATGCGAAATAGGAGCGATATCTGCATTAAAAGTGGATTGTGGATTATAATTTACTTACATGTTTCGTATGATATCTAAGTTGCGAAACAATTTAAACTTGTCTGTAAAGTAACATAATTTCATCTCACCTGCAGAAAATGCTCATCTAGATCAAAACACAAAGAGTAATTATTTTGACAAACCTTTTGAATTATAAACGAGATAAATACAAAGGTGACTGGGACTACGTACTTATGATGAAGACACAATCTTCAATATATATATAAATAAACAAATATATAACGAGCAATGTCCATAAAAATTCGAAAAAAGAGTGACAAGTAGAGATAAAACAGGAATACAATAATCGAAATTATATCATACTACCTAGGATTCTCACGTGGAATCAAAGGCCTTCTCTCTTTTGTCCAAGTTACTGTAATCGGCTTTTCTCCTCTCCCTCTACATTGTAGATCAATACTCTCCCCTCTTTGAACACTGTGAGTTTCGAATTTTCTTTCTGTTTGAGCAGCAACTGCAAAAGAAAAGACTTGTTCACAATTCACTATATGCTTAAGGTAAGAGATATTGATTTCCAGATAATCTTTTTGATAACAATGCAACTTCTCTTAGGTGATGAGCCCCTCTGAGAAAAATTCGTTGGCTTAAACTTCAATTTTGTCACATTTTAGCAAAATAGAGTACATCCTGTGGCAAATAATTCGATTTTATCAAAATCATATTTGTCAGAAATTGTATGTAGTTGTTAAAGCTTTGAATTTCCGTTAAAATAAAGCTTATGTAATTTACAGTAATACTAAAGTATTCTTGCTCTCCAAGTAATGACATAAAATAATACATATACAAATATAATAAAAACGAACGTTGTTTGAAAATTTTCTGATTCGCATATAGCTGGCTGTTTTTATTTCCTCGACTGTTCTTTGTTATGATGTTTGTTTGTTTGTTTTTTGAATTTCGCGCAAAGCTACATGAGGGATATCTGCGCTAGCCGTCCCTAATTTAGCAGTGTAAGACTAGATGGGCTGTATGTTGTTTGGACGAATATATTATTTATATTAATGTCTCATTCATTAAAAATTATAGGTTATGAGGAAACAGGTGATTGACAGTACTGTTCTTTGTTATGATGTGGAAGTTGTCAAGAAATATACAGATGATTAATGTGTTGAAGCTGTGATACGTAAATGTAAGGAAAATACGGTTATGATCAGTGGCAGTAGAACTGTGTTGGTTGAAGCAAAATTGAACAGTTGCCGTTAGTATCAGCAAATTGTCCAATGTGTTGATGTTAGAGTTATTGATATGATTAGGAAAACCCTGAAAAACTGCAACTGAACGTTTTCTTGCTTGTATGTATATTATCTTTAGTATGATGATGAATAATAGTAGGGTAGTCATGTTTTTCAAAAAAATGAAGCATCTCGACAGATTATAATCTTGGTCGTTACTACAAATCCTATGTAGTCTTGTGAGTTGTGACTCGGTCGTTACTACAAATCCTATGTAATCTTATGAGTTGTGACTTGGTCGTTACTGCAAATACTATATAATCTTGTAAGTTGTGACTTGGTCGTTACTGCAATTCCTATATAATCTTGTGAGTTGTAACTTGGGAATGTTTTTCTTGACGTATGGAAGATGACTGGAGTGCAAATTTAAGTAGTTATGTGTGTCCAACAGTATGTAATGTACAGACGTCACCTTATGGCCGCTATTAGTTAGGGAAATATTTATCTCAAGAAACGAGATGGTTTGGATGGAAACAGAAGACGTGTATCTAGGTGTTGGGTGAATGTATTTAATGTACTGATGAAAAAGATCTAGTTCATCATTACTGCATGTACTTATATTGAAAACGTCATCAATATGTCTACAATATAAAGCTGGAAAGGTACCTGTGTAGTTACGAAACGTGCAATCTAACAAAGAGGTTAACATATAAGGGACCCATTTTGGTTTCCATGGCTACTCCCTTCACATATATAAATAATCTGTTCTCTAAAAAAAGGGCCTTTAACGATAGAACCAGTTTGGCTAATGTAATTAGGGTTTGAGTAAGTGGGTCTAGGGTAACTCTTTTGTCAAATAGTGTTGTAGTCCATCTTCATGTGAAACGGAAGTGCACAACGATCTTATGTCTAGTGTGGATAGAATAATATAATCTGATATTGATTCAAAATTCGCAATTATTTGTAAGGTGTTATTGGTGTCCTGAATGTAAGTAGGGAGCTGATGATCTAAAGGAGTTAGGATGGAATTGAGGTAACAAGAAATGAGTCCAGTAAATTAGCTGCACGTTGAAACTGTGGGTCTACCAGGGTTGTTTGGTTCATGTATCTTAGGAAGAAAATATAATACAGAATGTGTAGGGTCTTTTGCCATTAAATTCTTAACTTCTAATAGAAGTTTGTTGTGTTTTATCAACTGTTCTATTATAGCACGGACAATCTGTTGGTATTCACGAAGAGGAGTGTTATCACAGATAGTATAGGGCGATTGGTCTGATAGTTGTCAGTGAGCTTACTGAAAATTAGGTTATTTCTTCCAAACAACTACTGCTCCTCCTTTGTCAGTTTCTTTCATTACAATGTCGTCACGGCAACGAAGATTATGTAATTCTGCTCGTGAGGTTTCTAAAAGACAATATAGTTGTGAAATCTAAATTGTAAATTTCCTTTCGACATTTCTTTATGTGGTAAGCGAGAGGAAGAAATTTCCCTTGTGAGGATGTCCATATTCTAAGATTTAATCAATAGCTTGTCACTATTGGTTTTAGTATTGTTATATTATCATTACTATATTGTTTAAATATTGTGTTTCTACCTCGCGCATCATTCTTTTCTCGTGTATTGTATTCCACATAGAACGTCTTACAATAGTTTGTTAGTAACCGACAGGATAGTGTCTGACTTAAAAAAGGACGTCTGCTCGAAACGTCGCTAAGAAAAATTAAACTTAAGATATATATATATAAAACACTTTGTGCCCGACAAAACACGTAAGTAGTAAAATTGGAGTAGACTAAGACTTTCATGATTGTTTAAACAATCCATTACTTTTATAGGAATGATAATAAAATGTGCTTATAAGTATAATTTCAATTAAGTTTTATACAATATATACGTTAACGTGGAGTATTACAGTACAATAGCTGAATCATCTTTTAAAAGAGAAGTTGACTAAATTTGAGAGAAAGAAATAGTTAAAATGTTGGGTGGAAATGAGAATTCACGATGAGCGAATTAATTTTGAGTTGATGTAGATGCAATTCACTTAACAGGAAGCAAGCTAGCTCTGTGGTCCTAGCTGATCACACGCCGATTATAGGTCGAGTTTTTTACCGCTGAAGTTGTATAATGTCTTAGTAAAAGTACATATGTCCTATGTGAATCCACTGAAGTTAAACGGTTTGTAATATTCGAGTTTATAAATGTTCCTGGTCAAATATCTGAAGTTTCCGATTAATAAGTGTTAATATCACAATTATAACTTCCGAGGTTTATAGTATACCAACTGTAGCAAACCAATAATATATACTGTCTTTTGGCATGTGGCGTTGGTTATATTTATAGGCGTGTGGAGAGTTTCTAGAAAATTCAGATTACGTAACAATACAAATCTACATTAAGCGTTTACGTACATACATATATTGTTGATTCTTGCACTCGAGAATCTTCTAAAACTTGAGAGAATAGGCGGGAGTTTCGCAATACATATTTAACACTATAAGCTATGCATAATTTTAAATATAATATATATATATATATATATATATAATAATAAATCCGTCACACTATCATGGTGCAATTTATATAAAATCCATAATTAGATTGATGCATAGTGGAATAGCGGCTCTGGGTAGCTATATACACTATACCTAGTTATCTAATATTTACAAGTTATTTGACCTAAGTGATATTTATGTATATATATATAATCTAATTCAATCAGGCTGATAATTCATTTTTCAATATATTTATCACAGACCAATATTTCTGCCAAGTCGTCCATCACTGCATCTACGCTATTTAGTTATATTCATCTATAAGTTTCGCTTAAGTTGGTTCCTCTGAGCCTAAATATAAAGTATAGTGCTTTTAAAAATTATAAAATTTTGTTCTTGCGTTATAATGTTTACTACTTGGTAAAATATAGACATGATAAAGCATATTATCTTTTACTATAACACTAATAAAATTATACCTCTTACCATGAATCTTCAGTTCCACTATCGCATTCAAGTCTGGAGATACATTATTCGTCACTTGGCACATGTAGAACCCAGCGTCATTGATGTCTGCTTCTCGAATTGTTATAGAACCATTTTCTAGAATCTGGACATTCGCGTTGCTAATGACCACCATAAATTCAGAATCTATATTTCCTGAGTTATAAGAAAAATCAATAGTTCTTCGTGAATTAAAAAAGAAATGATTTGATGCCTTTTCAAGCATTAAAATGAACTCGGAGGAACAAATCTTATTACGTTTAAAATTAACACCATTTATTATGTTGTTTCTACAGTTGGCCTCAGAAATAATGTAAAAACAAAGTGCGTTTTATAATTACACAAGATCAATGACACTAAGACTTTCTATACGTACGAAAGCGTATGTTCACATTTGTGCATGAGTAAACATTAATAGTTACAAAATGCATTTTACAACTTCCATAAGGGAATAATATAGTTTGAAATATTACTGGCAATGTCTGGAAGCTTCTAGTCAAGTATAAAGTTTTCAAACTTAAAGGATAAAAAGAAACTGACTTAGTGATTGAATACACCGTTGCTTTTGGTATTTCATGGGCACTCCGTGTTCGTTAAGAGCGCAGTAAATCAGGTTACATGTACGTAAGTAAACTTTAAGGTAATAAAGAAAAAGCTTTTAGTGCACGTGTACGTGCTTCATAATGATAAATTTTGGAATTTTACAAGCATGCATCTAGTAAACTGGGTCTAACTGACAGGAAGGCCTCAAAAAAGCACGTCATCGTAGCAAACGAAAACACTTATACTGAAGAATTGATATAAATACTTATATAACAAGTAAAGTGCTCAGATATTAAACTATCCTAGAGACATCTTTCATGTTTATGGACATTAAATTGCTTATCATAAGGAGTTTGTTATTTTTCTCTTTACAAGAAGCCGATCTGTGCTGTTTATTTCATATTTAAATAGTTAAATACCATTTCTAAGTAAGCATATATATATATATATATATATATATACTTTACGTTTAAGAATTTGTTTCTAGTAAATGTTTATTAAACTGATCGACTTCGCCTTAAAATTCTATTAAGATCATGTCCCCCCCAAAAAATAATTAAACTTAATTGATCATTGTTATTTGTAGATTTTTATTGTATAACCTCTTAATACAATAAATATTCATTAAAAATTACCTGAGAATACCATTGAAAAGAGCTCTGGACAATTCTTTAAGTTTATTAAAAAATATTTGTGCATTAATTCGGTAAAAAACTTACACAAATTATATAATTTTATACTTTTTAAGTTGAATGTGATATTATGAAATAAAAAGTGAAAGTGCTTAAAATTCCAAATATATACATATCAAATATGTGAGTTACGTTTTTATTACCTGTGGACTTTTTCCATCTTATGACTGGAGGAGGTGAACCTTCTGCTTGACAATGAAACATCACTCGTTGCTTCATTACCACGTTTCTGTCGATAGGTTTTATTTTCCAAAAAGGAGGAACTATTGTCATTTAAACATCAATATGATATAGCATGTCTGTACCTTGTTTCTGTATGTTTTTTTGAAATAATGAACCCAACATGCTTTATGATTTTAAAGAAAAATTGTTAATGTCAAAATTAGACATATATGTGAACATAAGTTTCTCAAAACTAAACTTTTCTTAAATGACTTAAAATTATACGTAAATAATTGTTATTGATTTTGTCTATAAAATATCTATATAGCAAATAACAGTGTACAATGCATTAAAAAAGTTACCATACCTCAACGAAATTATAAAATCAATTTACATTAAAAGATTTGCAGTTTATACAAAAAATACACTATATTTCAGTTTCTCTAAATGTTTTTGCATTTATAAAACGTTTCGAGTTATTATAGTTCTATCATTAACTTTACACGTAACATTTACTGAAGGAGTGGATACTTTCTCTTTGTGTTCTGAATCACTGGGAAAAGTATGTCTTGAAAAAAAAATGAAATCATTCTTTTCGTCGATACGATCAATGATCAAATGATTGATTTTATTCATACATTTATATTTTCTAGATTAAAAGAAATTGTAGGTGAGAGTGTGTATTTTGTTTTCATTAAAATGTGTATATAACCAAGTTATTTATGTCTGTTTTAGAATATTTAATACCTTTTGAAATCACAGAGAATATTTAGCTTTAAATGCAAGAGCATGAAGTCATTACTTCACATGTCAGCTTAGCATGTCCTACTAAGGCTCTCAGGTAAGGGAAACCTAAAAACAATCTATCAAAGATAAAGCAACCAAGTTTCCATCTGGTATTTGATTCTGGAAACTACACATATACGTAGCTGGAGACCTACATAAACATACTGTACGTTTATGCATCCATCATAATCGGGTTTCTACCTAATGTTTAATAACGCCAACTATATAAAGTTAGAAAACTAAAAATGTGTTATGATTAGATGTCAAGCATGAGCGTCTCTCTACCTGACTTTTGAAAATAAAACATTTATCGGGAGGACCTAAAACAACACACATATAAAGAGGTTCGACAAGAAAATGTTAAGCTAGTTTTAGTTTAGCTTTAAATTGTTTTTAATTTTATTTTAAGATATTCTACGAATAAGCACAAAAGTGCATTGTTGAATAAGCAATATCCATTTAGCTTATGAAATTACCTTTAACATCCATTGAAGCTGTGAAGTTGTCCGAGGCTGCTGGGTTGGAAGCCACACATGTATAATCTCCGCTATGATCTTTTCGAATAGCTGAGAAGGAGAGTAACGAAGTATATTCATTAGCCATGTTTATGGAGGCCTGGAGGTTTAATGGTAGACGTCTACTGTCTTTAAGCCAATGAATCATAATAGGAAGATCGCCAGCTGAAACTACGCACACAACAGTCATACGTTGTCCAGCAGTAAGATCAGGGTTAAAAAAGAATGGTTCAACCACTGGTGGTACTAGGGTGAAATAAGAGATTAAAGTCCAACGGATAAATATAAAATAATATACATAAATAAGTAAGATAATATTTATACAGATAGATATTGGCTCAGCAAAAATAACTAAAAATATTTTAAGTCCGTAAAAGGTCAAAGTTTAAGATCGGACACGTATGTCAATTATCCCTCTGTTTTAGCTATTAATCATACTTGATGGGCAAAAGTGGATATGCTAGCAGGTTCACAAAACTTCAAAGTTTTTGCTCTAAATCTACTACTCAAAAGTCCAACACAACAACAACATAAATATTTTTAATGGTATTCTTACTTTGAGGTACTGTATATGATATACAGAATAATGCATTTATTACTACGATGTCTAGAACATAGCTTTGCCTGTTTTACATTTCTGAACCTGATGAGATTTACTTTTAATCAAATGTGTCTTACTAGCCACGGACACCATCATATTGTTTTGGTCTCTTTTCCCTTCTGCACCAAGGGCCTCACAACTGTACAATCCTTCATCCACAGATTTCTGGATCTTTTGCAGAACCAAGGTGCCATTAGCAAGAGTCTTTTGTCGATGAGTGAAAGGTAGACGCTTACCACCTGCAACGAAATGTAAGAAGCGTTAAGTATTTAAATGAAAAAAAAAAGTATAGGCAATTGTGTCCGAATTTACAGTTGACTTTTCTTTGAATAATCGTCGCAAACTCCTTTTCTCGTGAGTTATTACTAATCCTGTTTATTATAAAAGCAACTGAGTTTATGTAAAAATCATATTTCCTGAGCATCTAATAAAGTTTTAGCAAGTTTTGGTTCATTTGATAAAAAAAAAGTTGATATCAAAAATATAAGCAAAAACCAATCAACTGTAAAATCCGAAAATTATCTAATTAAATCTCTGTTCCTCAAGCAGTATAAGTTATTATGTTCGATCAGATGAATTGTGAATACAAAAATGAAGTTACAAAAAATTATGAGTAAAAATTAAAAGCTTTTACAGGCATTAATTTTAAGTCGATTGGACAGAATAGATGAAAGCTGGATGTTCTAATGAGTGAAACCGATGAGTAACAAATACTGGAAATAATTAATGTTATTCGAATACCTCATATATATCATTCTTCTTTATTTTCGAAAAACCTTAATGTATAAAGAGTGTTGAGTACATTATAATAAAATGATTATAAATACGCAAGCAACATGAAAAACCCAGAAGTCGCAGTAGAACGGAATGTATTAGAACTATACTATGATATCGGTTGACGTTTCATAGATGATACGTTGCTACGTTCCGACACAAAACATTCATATACTCAAATTATAAGTATGTGTTTAGATCGGAGATTTAGAGTTTCCAAGTCTTGTAACAAAGGAAAATTCATTAACACATAAGTCAATGACAGTCCAGGTAACATAATGCAAAATAACCAAAAAGGATCTCCATTCGTAAAAGCAACACAAATCATGTGTAAACAAGATTCTTTCACAACATATCCTTCAACCTTAAGCAGCTAGAGAATGAAGTGAATTTTCATGATTTTTCACATTAAAATATGAAGATAAAGTTGCTAGCTGCAGATCCTACGAATTTCTGCGTGATCGGGCTGTTGAATCGGGAATTATCGCCTTTATGCATTAAATGGCTTGTGGAAAGCTGCAGGAAACAATAGTGATCTTTTGATATGGTAGCCCTAAGATAAAGCCTTTTGCGGTGGAAACTACGCTGCAAGGAATTTGTCAACATGCACAGCCATGAAATACAATATGACCAGCCGTGGCGACATGCACTGTAATGATGTAGTGAGGATGTAAAATCGTATTGATATAGGGTACTCAACCTCTGCGTTATAAATTTTTCTTATTGTATTCTGTAAAACCTACTACGCCCAAAAACCCAATGTTGTAGATCTACAAATTACTTTTTCGTTTGAAGATATTCCTTTTGTTTATTTTTATAATTACTGAATAACTTACGAAATGTACTTGTTAAAACAAAAACACGTTTTGTTTCTAAGCTAGTGAACTGAAGGTTCATATGTTTTGTCCTAGCTTATATTTCAATTATTTCTTAATTCCGCTGTTATTGTATTTTTGCTTTTATCTTTATCATTCCATTTTCTCATTTATATCATAATTGAAAGCCTGTTTTTAGTGTCTTCACGAATAAAAGTTTATAAATGGTTTTTGAATTATTTATGAGGACTTTTTAATTGTATATGAATTTAGCTTTTAATTATTGAACTAATCATTATTCAAAAATGAAGTAGTTAGTTATAAAATTAACTGAAGTATTTCGACAAATGTGCAGATTGAGAAAAGAAAAAGCAAATATTTTTCATACCTTTTCTCCATATTATTTCTTTGATAGGATATCCGCTTACTGGACAGTAAAACACAGCAGATCGCCCAGCTAACACGGTTTGGTTGACCATTGGTCTGACAAAAGGCGGACCATATACATCCATACGTCCGGAATGAAAGACCGTCCCGGCGCCATTTTTTGCCAAACAAGCGAATTTACCGCCATCTTCTATATTGACAGTACTGATGTTAACATAACTGTTTACTGTGTTAGCAGCACTAACATAATCCCCAATTCGAGTGTGAAAAGCTTCCGGTACAGCAATGCCATCTCGTGTCCATGTAACTTGGGGAAGGGGATTACCTGACGCTGAACATTTCATGGAAACTGACGTTCCTGGTTTTACGAGCACATTCTCGAACGTAAAAAGAAACTTTGGAGGCTGTTCTGGAATTACCAAAATTGTGTATTTGTCTATAAATAGATAAATGGGTTCTTAAGTACATTCAACCATCAATGCTACTCAAAAAATAGCAGCAGTTATATCACAAATCTGTTAAGCCTAAATAGTAGACACTAAGTAATAGCACCTACTTTGACTTGGTGGTATCATGTTTCATCAGTATCTATTAAACACAAGTGAAACATGAGTAGACTTACAACAAATGCACAGCTGATGCAGTTCTCAGTCCACAATAATTCGAGGCCCATTAACACTCACCGCCCTTGCCCATACACTCTACTATTGTGAAAAAAGATTATTATTTTCTTTCGACTTGCCCTTTCCCAAGGTTTACTGATGAGGGGGTGTAACTCTCCGTAACCGGTATAACTCAGTGTTAAGGGTGATGAGGGGTGTAACTCTCGGTAACCGGTATAACTCAATGTTAAAGGTGATGAGGGGTGTAACTCTCGGTAACCGGTACAACTCAGTGTTAAGGGTGATGAGGGGTGTAACTCTCCGTAACCGGTATAACTCAATGTTAAGGGTGATGAGGAGTGTAACTCTCCGTAACCGGTATAACTCAATGTTAAGGATGATGAGGGGTGTAACTCTCCATAACCGGTATAACTCAGTGTTAAGGATGATGAGGGGTGTAAATCTCCATAACCGGTATAACTCAGTGTTAAGGGGTGAATCGAATAACAGAGAGGGCTTCACATTTGTTTTCTGTATTTTAACAGCTGGTCTAAAGAATAGATTAGTAGTATCAACGATACATATTCTTCAAATCCCATATAAATAAATAAAATACAACTAAAAACATCATACATGTTAAGAATAACATGATCTGATCGCCCAGTTTTTTATATTTGATATTTTAAGATGTAGGTGAGCTATGATTTTTGGATTCTCTGTTTTAGCGCAAAATTATGCAATGGGCTAGGTACACACCGTGGAGGATCGAACCCTAGCGTTTTGTCTTTGTACGTTTTTAATCTAAGCACTGGCGTTTTTTTCTGGTGCTGAAAATTTTGCCTTTTCAGGTTATCTTGTCTCAGAAAATTCATGATTATAGTTCTTCATCTACATTTAATAGACATTAATTAGACAGGACATTCCCAACTTTTTGGGTGATATTACTGCAGTATTTACGTTTTACAATTATGTGGAATTCTGGAGTGTTAAAAAAGTGCCTTACGGGTAATATTTGGTTATATACTTAGCTTGGTTTGTAGAGCATTCGTCTAGTGTGTGAAAGATTTCAGGGTCGAATCCAAGCTGACGCCATAATAAATTTGAAATTACTGTTTTCTTCAAATATTCCAACTCTTATTAATGTTAATGACTGAATCTGATAACTGGTTAAAACAAAGTTCGAAGTAGTAAAGCTTGTAAGAAAAAATCTGGTTGGTGATGGTACTGCTTACATCGAAATCACTTGATGAGTGAGTTAATGTGAGTTAACACAATAATTTATTTGCACCACTCGGCTTGCTTCGAGTAACTGGATAAGTCTCAGTTTGCCTAGTATGTGAAACATTAAGACTTTAAGCGTGGTTGGTTAGATGTTTTATATATATATATAGTACTAAATTATTATCCATGTACCGTGCCCAAAATTGGCCATGGCCAGTGAGAGTTGTATAATTTGAGACGTTGTGGGTTTTAGCTTCTCTTCTACAAACACTTGTTTTTTCCTCTCGCATGTCTAATCGTTTTTCACCTAGGTTTATTAGATACTGATGATGCAGGACATCTCCAACGCTTTCTCGTTGTTATTACTGTAGTATCAAGGTTTTTTGGGGACTTTAATTGTTTTGTAAAACTGGTATAACTTGTTTTTTTTTGTTATGTATTTAAAAAATATATATATATGTGTGTGTGTGTGTGTAAACATGTGTGAAAGAAGTTCAAATCACTTCAAGAAATCATTAACTCATAAAATACAAATTTACATAGTCATTCATAACATAAGAATATATGTTGTTTTATAATAACTTTATATATATTAAGTTTTTTTAATGTTCTTACATTACAGGTGTAAGTTTATAAATTGAACAAAATAGTTGAAATAAAGAGAAAATTATACAAATAAAATTACGGTAGCAAGTGGATAAAATATCGCAATATAACAATCTTAGGAATATTTACAAGAAATAAGCACCTTTTAAAACAATTTTTATATGCAGTATAAAAAAGCAATTTTTTACAAGATATAAAAAAATACACCGACACTGCTAACCTTAACATAATTCTTAAACATGGTATAGAAATACACACATTAACTTTTAAAAAGCTAGTGTTCCTTACAAGTAGAACACGCACGACTTTAGGGACTTATCTTTTAACATGAAGAAAAAGATTATCGATTTCATCTCTACATAATATTTCACGACTGAATGAATGAAGTGTAGTTATACATTTTTTATATATTTAATATCTTCTATAGCTCGAAGACCAAATTTATCCCCCCTCATACTCTCGTTTTCAATATGAGGTTTTTAAAACGGATTTTATTGACTATTAATTTGCACCGCCTTCAAAGACTATGCTGTTTAAGTAATGTATTCCCCCTTTTATATGAATGTTCGTGTTTAGTAAAAGAAATAAATTAATCTCTATTTCAAACATTTTAATAAAAATATGGAGTGTCAACGTGTTATTTGGTTTTAAAATCCGTTGCTAACTTTATGTTCATGATTCAATGTTTTTACCTTGAAGTACAAGCTCTACTGTTGCTTGAACAGACTGTTTTTTGTTGGACACTATACACTGGTACATTCCTCGGTCTTTTCTTTGGACGGACTCGATTCTTATAGTCTCGCTTCCTAGTAGTAGGATTCGACTATTAAACATCAGAGGACCACAGTTTCGTACCCATCGCACTGATTGGATTGGATGGCCGTTGACGATACATGTGAATTCTACTTTTTCTCCTATATTCACTGTTTTTGAATTAGGGCTAATTTCTGCCGATAAAGGAGCTATAAAACATCAGTGATTAGGATAACAATTATAACTTAATTTTTTTTTTTCAATAGAACTACACTCTGACTTAATATTTGCTGAAAAATGTGTATAACTAAACCAAAGTATAAACTTTTAGTTACTTTTAACTAAATTGTACTTTGTTCGTAACCTTTAAATTATCCATCTAATGAAACAATACTTTATGTAAACTAATAGTAATTGATTAGGTGTTATTAATAAAGTTATAAAACATAATGATTATTGGATAAGCACACTAATTAGATAACTGGACGTGATGAGCTCCTGAACTACACCTTATACATATGTGGGCTAAACAGCCAATCAGAAACCCTTAGGATTTAGGTTTAGCAGCCTCTAACTTTATACTACTGACCAGAAGCGTGAAAGCATTCGGTATCATCCGTCACCAAAAGAGCCTTGTCAGGTTCTTTGATAGGAATAACAGATTTGACGGTGTCTTTTATAGTGCGCCTGCAGCTGAAAGTGTGGAGCACACCTCACCGAATCCTTCGATCGACAGACATGCCAATCTCTGGGCAACACTCTGCCTTTTCATTTATGTATCTGTTTATACAATTACAGAATCTCACGTTACATGTTGGAACGTAAGATCAAATACACTATTTAGGTTTTTACAACCATTGAATGTCGACTAAGGTTTAGTATCAGTGTATTTGCCACTGTATGTAAAATAAGTTATTGTTCCAAACGTCTAATATTCGAAAATTCTAATTCGAAATAAAAAATTTTTAATATTTAAATTTTATGAACATGAATTAACAGTTAAAAAAATACGTTTATACAGTCATTGCTCTATTAGTATTCAGTAGCTAAAACGAACCGCAGGAATTTCTATTTGAGAACCTAAGATAAATGTCTTTTTGATATGTTATAATATTCTTCAAAAGATAGATACTACATTTATTAAGCGTTTCGAATTGCTTCTAATTACTTATCGTTTTTTTTTTCACAAATACAATATTTTTATACTTATCACTGCTGTGTGTTCAATGTTATTTGTCAAACCCGAAATTAGCTAATGACATAATATATTTCCTGTATAGCTGCTACTGCCCACATTTTGGGAAGTGGATGATTTTGGCTTTCTTTCCGAACAAAGCAGCGACCATGAAACCTAAAGGGTATCATAACCTCGAGGTTAAGGTCACATTGTATTATCCAAACCGTTACAGGTTCGATCCTACCATAAAACATACTGTTATATGTATATATGTGTGTGTGTGTGTGTATGTTATTTTCCTCTTTCTTTTTTTAGAGTGAATTCTCTTATTTAAAACATTAATAAATAATTTAATATAAATGTTATAAATATTAAAGTAGATGCATTCCTTGGTTTATTTTCTTGAAATGTCGTTGAACTTTGTATGCCATTTATAATGTAGATACAGTGTCTTAAAAGTAATTGCACTTTAAAACAAAACAGAGATAGAAGAAGAAGGAAAAGTACGTTTTTGCTTTACTTCGGCGTCTTAATATTCTAACTGTTTGACAGATAAGATCAAGTTTTATATAAAGAGCTAACAGGAGTAACTACTAATGACTCTCTATGTAGCACGGATAGTTTTGTTGTTTTTGTATATTGGCGCACCTAAACTATATCAGGCAGGAACACCACTCCACGTTTAATATACAGGTTAAAACAATCTTAAGTCAAATGTGAAAAAAAAAACGGAAGTTCTTATGGAAACACAGATACAAACAAGAAAAACACAGACAGGAATTTGATCTAATAATAGAAATTAGTGGATTAATTTGCTAATGGTACAAAACATTATCACAGACAATATAAGAGGAAAGGAATAAATTGTAGAATGCGTTGTATTTTGTATGTCAGTTTTATCAACACAGAAATAAACTTTGTTTTCATGCTGTCTACAGTTTATCAAGTTATGATTGTGGAAATTTTCCCAATGTCCTATATTACTTCCCTCAAGTCATACATTGTTTTGTTGTCTTTTTACCTTCCCAGTTTTTACATAAGCACAGACAGCCTCATGAGTGTTTATATCGGAACTTTGTGCAGGTTAAGCTATGGTTTCGAGTGTTCCATCAACGTCTTTATCGTCAAGATATCATGTGACCACATTTGCTATATGCTTGGAACCATCTTTTGATAAAAGGTGGATCACCATCGTGTTCTCTAGGGACTAGCATGATGTATTAGAATCTGCTTATGGTTGTTAGTAGTCAAGGTGCCATCATATTTTTATAGACCACAGACACTTTTGACAGAGATGCAGCCTCAAACGTCTACCAATTCCCCACCATTCTGCACTATAGATGTTATACATTGACTATGGTATCGAACTTCTCTCTGTCGTAACACTAATGCCTTTGACAGTTGCTGAACAATTCGAGTTTTTTAATCCTGGATAACAATAACTGGAACCCAGATTCATCTGTAAAGAGTACAAGTCTACAATTTTGATCATTACACTGTCTGTGGTTCGATGCCCATTTCAACCTATGTCGTTACTTCTTGTCAGCAAGCATTTTGAGCAGCTATACATCCATTGAGACCAAAACGCGTAGAAATCAAATTCTTAAGTAGTCAAGAATTATCCCTGAAAAAAAATTGCGGTAAGACTCATGTTTCAGTAAAAGTTGTATGCAAGCCTGGAGAGGATACATGAAATTGGCTCTGTTAACGATATAAGGTGTTCTAGTTAGAATATCGAAATTCTGCAAAAAAGATATATATAAGTATCTCAGAGTATGATTTTTACAAGGAAGACACCAGTCGAGTAAAGATCTTGCCAATGACCTTGCTGTAAATAAAAGTGTAAATGTTTACTCTAGAATAGTAAAAATGAGCAGTAAACATGAAAGTCATGTGTTATTTTAGTTCTGGAACTAAAAGTGCGGGTAGTCATATTACTACTACTGAGCATACTATGACTACTCGCACTTATATAGGCTTTATACCAGTGTGAAACTTTCTTATTCGTTGAATTACAACCAATCACAATATAAATTATCAACATGTGACTGTATTCCAATACAATTCATTTTTACACAATAAATGGAAGGTATTTATATAGTATTTTCACTGTATAAAACCCCTTTTCCTCCCCGTTTCCATAGATAATTTCCAATACTGTATATTAAAATGTTCGTAAGCTAAATACTGTTGATAGAATATAGTAAGCATAGTATTCTCACTTGACAGTGAGCGAATCTCTATAGTGTCGGGCAAAGAACTAAGTTTTCATTGAAGAACTTTCATTTGAAAAAGTACTATCTAAGTTGTTCAAACCTACAAAAGTTTCTTTATTATCACACTATAGGAAACAAAAACGCACATATATTAATGCAGGAAATTTAAGAGTTGATCGACAGACATGATATCAGGATCAGTGGCAAAATTTATCTCTTCTTCTCTTATTTAACATTTTATCTTCAAGTTGCGCAACAACATAGTGAGGGACAATCGCCAGACATGACATCAGGATCAGTGGCAAAATTTATCTCTTCTTCTCTTATTTAACATTTTATCTTCAAGTTGCGCAACAACATAGTGAGGGACAATCGCCAGACATGACATCAGGATCAGTGGCAAAATTTATCTCTTCTTCTCTTATTTAACATTTTATCTTCAAGTTGGGCAACAACATAGTGAGGGACAATCGACAGACAACTTCCTGATAGACAGTAATAGGCAGGCTTCATGTAATACATTTTCGTGCTAACTATAGCTCAATAAGACAGGAAAAAAATAAAGAAGTTGGGAAAATAACAGAGAACCTAGCTTAAGGCTAAAAATGCAATCAATACATACAAAGTAAACTGAAGCAAAAAGAAATGTTCATATTTTAGTATGACATCAGAGTATCTTATCTAACAGAAATTGAAATACCAGTTTTCTTTTTGATAGAATTGAAACTTATAGTCTTCGTAAAGTTTGAAAACAGTAAAACGTTGAGAAGACTTGGAATACCAAAGTTTTTGTACTTGTCATGCACTCAATGTTTGTCAAAAGATGAAGGAAAAAGACCCTGCTCAAATAAACCTCAAGCATTAGATCGAATTTTCCGATATTTCTATGTAATTTGGCCGTCTCTTCTGTTTTCACCAAAGTAAAGAATCGTAAACCAATGTAGAAAATACGACAGTAAATTTTTGGAATGTATATTATCACAACTGTTTAAGATTCAATAGTCTGAATTAGAAAAAAAATGAAACATTGTGTGTTAATATAGCTCTCTAAACGCTATTCATGAAACTTTGTGTGTTAATATAGCGCTCTAAACGCTATTCATGAAACATTGTGTGTTAATATAGCTCTCTAAACGCTATTCATGAAACTTTGTGTGTTAATATAGCGCTCTAAACGCTATTCATGAAACTTTGTGTGTTAATATAGCGCTCTAAACGCTATTCATGAAACTTTGTGTGTTAATATAGCGCTCTAAACGCTATTCATGAAACTTTGTGTGTTAATATAGCGCTCTAAACGCTATTCAAACGTAAGTCGCTACGAAGGAAGAGTTGATTAACTGTTTAAAATTATTGATTATCGATGTCTTTTTTTGTAATGAGAAAATAATATTATTTTAACTACATCACTCCCAATATGAATAGCGTTTAGAGCGCTATATTAACACACAAAGTTTCATCACAGCTCACTGTTTATTAACGTTTTACTTTGAATTACAAATTACCAACAGTCGGCAAAAGATTATAACATTAGTAAGGTATAAAAATATATTCACAGCTGTTTATGTACATTACTGATAAAAAATAAAACATGTTGTAATCCCCCATTGGATACATTACGTTGTTTATATCATACATAATATATAAAAATTGTGAAGCATCAGTAGCTTTCAATAGATTATCCTATATAGCGTTTCTTTACCTTTCCGATACAAGGGACCGGCTTTCTGCCTCATTAAACTGTCGCGTACCACTAAAATGTAAGTGAAGCAAAAAACATTACGATTGATATACGGATATTCTGTTAGTTTTTGTCGTTGTTGTTTTGCGATATCTCACGGACTGAATGGTTGTGGACGAACCGGTGTTGAGAAACAGTCTTATATTAATCCACACTGTGTGTTTGTGAATTAGTTTGCCCGCGAACTCCTTCCACAGTTTGGAAGCTAGCAGTACCAAACTTGGCAGGTGGTCTTGGGATCTGGGGGGGTCGTTATCTATATGGCATAGCTCCCTACTCTTATTTATTTATTACCAAGGGTCTAAAGCACACCTGGAAGGTCACCCAGGCATGAAGGAGGTCTAATAGTAGGTTTTCAGGGTCTCTGAACTCGAATTTGGCATCAAGTTCTCTGTTCCTGCCTACCTCGGAATCGGGAGGCGTCTTTTTGAAACTGCCGTAATAACTCCTCTAATCAAGTAGCGAAACCAAAGTTGACACATGTGTTCACTTGCCAAGTGTAAGAATCCTAACGTGATTTTTTGTTGTTGTTCTTTCAGGGAATGATTCCTTTGGAGTAACTATAGTAGAATTTGTGGGAAATGGAGGAGCTGTTTTTTTAATCAAGAGGAACGCTTTAAATCCCGCAGCAAAGCGCGGACATTTTATGCTAGTTATATATGAATTCACGTCTTGTGTTTGTGGATTTGTTTATCCGTGCACTCCTCCTAAACTTTTGGAGCTAGAAGGGCCAAACTCCTCAGGCGGGCTCGGGCTCGAGGTAGCCTGGGAGGTGTCCTTATAGTGTATCTTCTCTACGAACTGGGTTAAAGTGCGTCCTGAAGGTTACCCCACATGATAGGAGTCTAGACGTAGGTTTCCAGAGTCGTTAGATCGGATTATGGCATGGAAGTTTGTTTTTCTGGCTCCGCTCGGGATTCGCTGAGAGCACCATATTTGGAACTGTGTTCATATCCACAAATGTGGCATACATGCTCAGGTACCAGGGGTGACTGTCATAACGAGTTTTATTTTTCCGGTTACTAACCCACTTGGGTTACTATGAAACTAATTGGGGGGTTAATAATAATGCAGGAGCTTGATCGGTACACTGTGAATCATGAGGAGGTCTGAACTCCGCTAGTCTAAATAGAAACGCTGTGTCCAAATTTTAAAACAAACTTTTGTAATGAAAGAATATCTGTGTACAAGTACATGTTATAATATTAGTGATACTTTATAGAGGTGATGATTAAATTTCTGAGTGTAGCCTAATGTTCCTAGAATTGATATTACTTTCATCTTAATAAATTACATTATTATTTAAGTATATAACTCAATTTAGACCCACGTTGTAGGAAATAAACTCATATAAAAACTTTTGT